AAAAAAAAAAAAAAAAAAAAAAAAAAAGAGGAAAAGAAGAAAAAAAAGTTAGAGAGCCAACGGCAGCTGGAAAACTTTCTGGGCAGCGCATGCGCCCAAACCCGGCCTATTACAGTCGGGGCTGGATTTTAAAGCTGTACGGCAGCGAGCGGGACCCCACGCAGCCCCACGGCGGGCGGCGAGCGCCCGTGGTGCACACCCCCGTTCCATCCCGTCCGCGGGGCTGAGCCCCGCATCGCGGCGCCGTTCTCGTTGGTCAAGGTCGGCGCGACACCCCGTGAACGCAAAGTTCGTGCAAAGCGGTGCCCCCTGTGCCCACCCCGCCGGGGGGATTCGTGCGGGGTTGTACGGCCCCCACCAGCACCGCCGGCTGGTTATCATGGGATGGGGAATGGGGGGGGGGACGCATAGACACACGCGGGGATCCGCCGGGAGAGCCCCGCAGGGCTCCCCCCGCACACATGTGTGTGCAATGTGTGGCGCACATGGCCGCGCCGAGGGGCTGCCCCGGCATTCCTGCCGGGCGGCTCTTTGACAAGTCCTGTTTATCGCATGCTCCGAGCCGCGTGTGCCGCCTGCCAAACGCGGGGGAACGGAGCGAGCTCGACGGCTCGTGTTCCTCTTTCTGCAGCGGCTTTTCCGCCGCTGTAAATTTGGCAAGTTGTTGACAAAACTGTTTGAGTTCAATCAAGTTAGGCCCAATGAGAGCTACAGGCAAGGGGGGCTTCGGGGACCCTTTGTACCTCCTCGCTCTATTCTCGCTCTGTAGTCCTCAGCCAAAGGGGTTTTATTGCACCTCTCCCGTCCCGTGTGCACCCAAGCACAGGAAATGGGAGCCTTCCCCCAGCCGTGCTGTAACTCCACAGTGTTTCCCCTGTATCCGCCTGCAACTGAGGGTCCACGGGGGGATTCGGGGGAGGGGGCACATTATCAAAGCAGTCCTGGGAAATCCAACCAGGCTGCGAGAGCAGCCCCGCTATCAATAAATGCATTCAGTCCTTCAAAACCATTCCAGTGCAAATAAAATCCATTCAGGAGCGCGATGGGGGGAAAAGGCACATCCCGGCCGGCACGAGCCGCTGCCCACCTGCTCCCGGGCCAAGAGCTCGTCCGCCCCGACGGGGCGCTGCCCGCCAGGTAAGCGCAGCCTCTGCCGAGCGGGCCAGCTACTCCCGCCAGGCCCCCACGGTCCCCCCTCTGCCCAGCGCCCCCCGGGCCGCCCCCTCCGTTGTGCTGCCCGGGGCGCCGCTCCCCGCCGAGCCCGGCGGCGCCCGCCGCCTCCCCGGGAGGGATCAGCGCTGGAGGGGCCGCCGAGAGGGGCCCCGGCGCTGGGAGCCGAGCAGCGGCAGCTCGGGGCGCAGGCAGGGAGCGGGAGAGGGCGTTAGGGCAGCGCGGAGCCCCCTCGACCCACAGTGGGCAGGAGATCAGCACGGGACACCGCGGCTCCCGCCGGCACCTGACCGCCCCGACCGCCGCAGCATCGCTCCCGGCAGGTTTCTTTACTCCCTAATATCCCAAAGAGCCCTTCTATTAGGCATCCTCCCTGCCCAGGCTGCTGTTCATTCCTCGGGACGCCTGGTGAGGAATTTATAAATTAGGTGTAGCACCAGGTCCGGGGAGGGGGGAGAAATAAGGGGGCTGTTCGTTCCTTTAAGAAGACCAACCTTAGTTTTATGCCTAGTAAATAATATTTTATTGCCTTTGGTTTACTGTGGCATTTCAATTATCCCCTTTAGGAGTCTGCAAACTGCGTAGGTTAAAGGTCATTTCTCAAATCACTAGAATTAGTAAAGAATAGCAGAAAACTGTAAAAAGGGGAGGAGCTGCGCAGTAAAACAAGAAAGATCGCCTGGAATAAACTAATAAAGAGCCCCGAGCTGTTTACCTCTCGCATTTGTATTCCCGAATGATGTTTATCATCGTGTAATTGCATAATGTCATCGGGCACAGGAAAACGCCAAGCCCAGGACGATCCATATGGGCAGTGCTGTGAGCGGTAGCTTGGCAATGGGCGAAGCCAACACCAGATAATTTTCCTTGCCAGTATTCCTAGTCGTTGCTTTTAAATAGAAAATTGAAAAGAGAATTTTTAAATCGGGCAAATTTTCAAGCTATGGCGCATAGAAGTGGAAATAAAGGGCAGAAATCCAAACATCCCGCAAGGCTTTAAGAATTTTAATTTCTCCTCACTATTTAAAACAGCTGGGTGAAGCTAGAGGGGGCAGGAGGGAGAAGTATTGACAATGTTACAGGCATTCGTGCTGCCTAAGCTTTTGCTTTCCAGGTTTGTTAGCAATGGAGCTCTTTAGGCAACCAGACAGTTGATCTGCCAATGTCACGGGAAGTGTCACCACATCACTGAATACCCAAAGAGCAGAACCACAAAAAGCAGCACTGCAGGATTTTAGAGATTTAGGTCAGGTCTCTTATAGTTCTGCAGTTCTCTGGAGAACAGAAAGAAATTATTTCTGGTCTTTTTGACGTCTTTCTGCCATTTTTCTGCAGAGTAATGCATTTTAACTAAGGAGTGGTCACATCAAACCCTTGCTCACCTGTGCTCACTGTAACGTGGGGTGCTGTGTGATTTATATCTTCCCACCTTGGCCAATGGCAGCTGGGCAGTCAGGGGCCAACAGGCATGGGATTTTGTCTGTCATGAAGAACCTGTTTGGGAAGCAGAACTTTTGAGGAGAGAAGGTGTTTTCCTATATGCCTTTTTAGTTCATTATGGAATTTGAACACGTAATGTAGGAATTCTGACAGCTATCACACGGAGCCATTGTGAAGGCTCAGCCCATCTGCATCTGTTTTGGTATTAGTGCCCATAGCGTATCTGCATATAGGTTTTTGCAGGTGAGGGTCATACCATAATGAACATTTGGCAGAGCAAATATGTTGTGTCACTTTGAACATGTCACCTGCACTCTGCCCACCAGCTCATCTACCTCAGGAATGACCTTTTTATTTTAAGCTCCAAGGAATTTAGGAATAACTGCCTTGAAATCATATATGGACTGGTTTTTTTCCCTAAAACGTTCTGTAGCTGTTTTTCTACAGACCACATTTCTACAAATCCAAAAGATGGCTAAACTACGAAAGAAATTACAAAGATGATGATTTTATGCCAAATCTTGCAATAATTGTTATTGTCCTAATCCTTAGCCACTAGAAGCAAGAAATAGCATACGAAACTCTCTTTTTAAATAAGAGTTTTATATTTCTAGCTTCCCTAACTGCTGAAGAGAGTTTGACAAGTTAAGAAACTAGAAGACAAAGAAGAGTATGGGATGTCTGTCAGTGTATGGATGTACCCCCACCCTGTTCCCATCTCATCTCTCAGATCCCAAATTCATGATGTTGAAGGAAACCAGGATATTTGGGAGCAGCAGTAAACCACTAGAGAGGAAGAAACGGAGTCTAGATTAGCATTCATGTCTACCAGATGAAGACATATTTTAGATGCAGTGAGATGCAAATAAGAGGCAGCAAGCAAGAGAGGAAAGTTTACAGGGTAATGAAGTGTTACAAATTCTAGTGAATACACCAATCTATAAACCTGCAAAGCCTGTAGAAAAAATTATACTACTTTAAATTGATGATAACTATACCAATTTGTTGTTACTAGTAATGAACTGCATAGCAAATGGCCCCCATTTTTCTGCATTATCCGCTGGAGAAAGACAGCTGTGGACTCACTTTTCATCTTTCATATGTAAAACACAGGTGGGTTCTTTTCATTCCCTTCTGCTGCGGTCGAACAAACCTCGCTGCCACTGCAGAAGCTACAGCTCAGGCTCAACGTGTATGTGCTGGGTCACGGAGGAAAATAAAGAGATGAGAAAATCCTTTACAGAAAAGTAACTCTAAAAGCTATTGAATCAGGATGCCAACTAGGTGCACGTCTGTTGGAGCATGGAGCTCGACTGCTGTGAGCTCACCAGGTGCAAGATGGTCAAA